CGGAACGGTATAAAAAGCTGGCTGAGCAGTATGTGAGCCAGAGTGTGTGATTAGGAGTGACAGTGCGGATTGTGAAGCCAGACAGAAGGCAGCGGAAGTCTAGAAGTCGCTGAGAGCAGAAGTATATGTGATACTGCAGATGGCACAGTAATTGGGAAACTGTAAACTGTGTAAATGTGAGAGCGATTAGAATAAATTCGCTATATAGAGAACGGCATGAAGTTATTTGTCTTGTGACATATACCCAACACATGACAATTTGGTGTCAAAAGTGGGATGGAACTTACACATGCCACAAGTTACAACAAATTATACTGCCACATGATGGAGATGGAAAAATTGTTTGAACGCCTAGTGGCGAAAATGGACACCGATAGAAAAACCGACAAGGAGGAAATGGAGGTCAATAGAAAGAGTGACAGAAGAAATGCTGGCAAGAATGGACACCAACATGAAATCCTACCAAGAAAAGATGGAGGCCAATAGGAAGACTGGCCATAAAGAGTTGCTGTCCAGATTGGAGACTGACAGACAGGCCGAGTGAAGAGAACTAAAGGAAGTGATGAAAATGATGGTCACCAGCCACAAGGAGATGGTGACCGAATTTAAACCTGAATTAAAGGATACCTGAAAAGAGACGATGGCTTGCCGAGAAACGACGGAGGTGCATCTAGGAGAGCAAGAGCCAACCTCAGTGGAAACGAAACCTGAGGTGGCCCAGCAATGAGAAGTCCCCAACGTAGATGCCATACTGAAACCGGTCAATGGATGGAAGAAGCCGCATAAGGGCAAAAAGCAAGCTGCAGGGCAACGTGGAGAGCCAAAGGAACTGACCCGAGGAGATTGTGGATCCCAGATGAATGTGGCTGCCTCCTGCAGGAAGGTGTCCCGCTGTGCAACAGTGGCATGGCGCAAGAGGAACATGTTCAGGAAATCTTGGACCCAAAGAAATTGTGGACCGTGAAAAGAAGTAACTGCAACTGGAATAAAGATCACACGCTGTGCAGGACACAGGTGTATGGACAAAACGAAGACAACGTTGAACAAGAAACCCTGGAAAGGACGAAGGAGAATAGACGTTGGAAGCACCCTGAATGTAACAATGATATAAGGGACAGAGGTCTGAAAGAGCGGCTACAAGGCAGCAGACAAATGAAGGACCCAACCACGAACAGCATCAAGGGGTGGAGCCAAGGAAAGTGAGCACATCAAAGAATTCCTCGGGTTCAAAATGGTGGCACCAAGTTTCGTCCCTAGTGGCAATACGGGACAGACAAGCATACTCTTCCTGATGATATCGTTGCAAGTGACCCAGTGATGCAGCCATTCTCTGAGTCTTCTGTTCCTCTGTGAGTTGATGTGGAACCCACTGTGCACAGATTTTGCGGTACAGCAGGTGTTTTGTCACAGTGGCATGTATGGAACCGTGACTTATTCCCATCAGAAGAGTAATTTCTTCTACAGTGATCCATCGGTTTGTGCAGATATATCCATCCCATGCAGCAATAACATCAGGAGTGATGACACGATAAGTCTGTCTTGGGTGAGCATCATCTTGCAGTGACTCACGTCCGTCTCGGAATCTCTTATGCCATGCCAGCACACGCGAACATGACATGCTGGGTTCACCATAAACAACGGCCTTGTGACGATGAATTTCTCGTCGCCCTACTCCTTCAGCAGTCAAGAAGCGCACTGTACTTCGCTGTTCTTCTTTACCCACCTCCATTACTTGAAGTTGGATGACCACGCGTAGTGCTAACCTCACTTCCAGCACAATAAACAAGCAACTAGTATGCAAGAGCACGTCATCACTGTGCTTTCCCAAGTCTCCTCCAGATGTTTGTACCCTAAGCAAATTCCAGTGTTACCAACTTGCGTGCCATATGAGTTATGCATGGTGACCCGTTTTCATTTTACTGCCCCTTATACATACACATACACACAAATATATATCCCTCAGTTATATAAGGCAATTTTTTCTCATGAAAACGGTTCATAAGGTGGAAATTCATAAATTGAAAATGATATTCGCAGTACTTTCATGTAAAAGTTATAGACTCCTCCATGAGTTCCAGAAAGATCCAAAAGTACTTTTAACATGCACTTTATTTGTAAATAAGCGTTAAAATAAGGGCAGTATTGCTTGTTTATAATATTGTTCCAAATAAATCTCTGTTATTTTACTCATGTTTGTGTTTCATGCTCTACTTTTGTTTTACATTATCAGCACAAATGTGGAACTTAAGAATTAACCAGTGAACCAACTGCCCAACTGACACTGATTGATAAACTACCTATCAAATGTATTATTCAACTCTAGAATTATATTGCCATGTTGACAAGAGCATGCCACAGGGCCCTGTCTGAGGCTCCAAAATAAAGAAAAGTCCATAATAACCAGTCTTTAAAAATATAAATTTTCATGTGAAAACACTTTTATCTGATTATGTAGGTCCTTATTAGCAAGCAACTTTGTAGCACAACATAGTGCTTCAGGGCAAGGGTTCAATCAGGCGTTGGTTGATTTGGTCCTTGATATGAATACTGAGAACTGTTACTAACAATTTTGGAAAAAATAATGTGTGTGCTTGCGCGTGTATAATATATATATAATTTTCCATGATTATCTGCATTTCAGGTTCCACAGAGTACAGAATCTTGTATGATAAGCTCTGGGATGAGCTGCAGCATGTTCAACTGAAGAGACGAAACCCACTGAGTGTTATGCGTACAGATACCCTTGCAGTTCAGTTAGAGATGTTCTGCCAGCTGGTTGAGTGCTGTAGTAATGCTTACTCAGACTTGCATGGAGAATCAAGAGATAAAGTAATTTCTTACATGGATACGTTGTTACATGCTGTGAAAAAGCGAGGAAGCAAGATCAGTGGACAAGAAATTGAGGAGATCAGCATGGAGATTCATCGTTTTCACAGACTGTGCCAGCTGTACAAGATAAGAAGTGAGGGCGCATATAAAATGAATTGCAGTAAACCTGAGGTGAAGAAATGCTTCGACACAGCACACAGAATTGCACATTCCATAGAGAAATTTTCAAAGGAGTGTGACATGGCGCTGAAGGATGCCCTGGAGAATCTGAAGAAGGAACTCAAGAGTGCTGTCATCATAACTGATGCTGAGAGGAAGATGATAGTAGGTGCACTCGGCTTCAAGCTAGGTCACTGGTATAAGTGTCCTAATGGGCACATTTATTGCATAAGTGAAGGTGGAGGGGCAATGCAGATAGGACAATGCAACGAGTGTGGAGCGGCAATAGGAGGTAGCAGCCACAGGCTTCTACCAGACAACAGCCTAGCTTCTGAAATGGATGGTGCCACTCGTCCTGCATGGCCACAGTAAACATTTAGTCCTTCTGCAAAACGAGCTGTGTTTCCATATACACAGGCACAGCTGAGCTGTAGTGAATGATGGTTAGGTAGTCAGATGATCTATTTTCGTCTTGTAATAACATTAAACTCACATATATTAAATTTTAGAATTCCAAAGTGCTGTGTTCTGAAAGTATGTGCTATTTTGTTCTGAAGATTTATGCTGTGATGTACAGTACTCAGGACTACTGAGTTTTTGGACTTTGTCCATCATCTAATATTCTAAAAATCACTGCGTGCACCACTTTCCATCTTCAGGTGAAGGGGAGGAGGCACATACTGTGTGGGGTGTGTTCAGAACAATCAGGTTTTGTTCCTCAGATCAGAAAACTACTACAGTGATTAAGGCATCTTAAATCAAAACAAAACAGTCTGGTAGTTGGAAGTGACTCTTGACAGTCCAAGAAAAGCATGTTATGAAACACATTTTTTGCAGTATTGAAAACTGACTTGAAGTATAGGCTGTAGCTGCTAAATGAAACCTTAAAATTTCTGTAATTACATGTTCTTTTATGTGTCTGTTCACCATAATAATATTAATCCAAAGTGTACTTCCAAATTCACAGCATGACCATTTCAATTGGCACATGCCAAACATAACCATCATCCAAGTGGCTCACTAATTGAATCTTATGAATGTGAAATACATTCATGTTTACGGTAAGGTTCATTTCACCAATTGCTCCACAATCACCCTCACCTATCATCTGGGGCTGGTACAATAGGCCAGAAGCGCCCGCAGTACAAGGGACTTAGTCCCACCCTACTAGCAATACAAGGGACTTAGTCCCACCCCACTAGCAAGGTTATAGATCTCGTCATGCATCTTGTATGATAGACACGTCAGAGAAGAAATAAGCTCACTTTACAGAATTGTATAATTGAAAGTAGCATAAAAAATGTATATTAACTGAGTACAATAGCCAGTGTTACACAATTCACAACATGATTTACCACTCACTCACGGAGCTGAGCGCTTCTTGAGTTGCCAATTGTGTAGCTACTCTAGAACTTCCCAGGATTTTATGGAACCTGAAGGTTCATTACTGTGTTCACAAGAACCCTCCACTGATCCCTATCCTGAGCCAGACCAATACAATCCATACCATCCCATCCAATCTCTCTAAGATCCATTTTAATGTTATCCACCCACCTACATCTTGGTCTTCCTAGTGGTCTTTTTCCTTCTAGTTTTCCCACCAACATCCTGTATGCATTTCTGTCATCCCCCATTCATGCTACATGCCCTGCCCATCTCGGCCTCCTTGACATCCGACAGAGTTCTCACTTTCACCGAGTACTTGTTACACTACAGAAGCTGCTCCTGGATATTTACTCGTGATGGCGTGACATTCAGATTTGAGGATTGTTAACTTTGATATGCAGTATTTCTGGAATCCCAGTAATGGCATGTCTGCCATCTTGGTGACATCACAACGCTGTATTCGTTGCTTCTATGTGTACACTCAAGTTTGCCGTTTTGATGTTTCTGACACCCGTGGCCAGGCAGCAAACTCCACCCACACCACCTTCGCCAAACAGGAGTTGGCCATGAGCCCACTACATAAAGTGAAATCTGCAAAAATCACTCCGTCCACCAGACATCTAGTCCAGTCAGTTTCCAAATGTGCTGGTAACATTTGTATTTGAGGTGCTCACCCTCACTAAATTCCCTCTCGGAGTCACTGCTGTGATCTGCTCGTCTACCCTCTGTCCTTCATTACCTGAGACCGTAATTAACTTACAAATGATATCACTGTACAACCACAACACCCGTTTCAGCCTACTTTCCATACTTTGAAGAAATAAAAGTAGGCTTATGAGATCACCATGCTGCTTGTGTGTCTGTGTAACAACTTTTTGAATGCCTGAATTAGTCTTTATGAAACTGTATGTATATCATGGCACGTGAGCCCATCTCAGTGCCATACTTCATAAATCCCTCCCATCAGTCTATGTGTATTTGCATCCTGCTACCACCGCTAGCCAAAGGAAATGGTGGCGTACAGAAGCATTAAGAAACTGGATGTTTCATTGGTAGGTGTTTCAAGTCAAAGGCAACAGAAAATTATGTGATCTGCGATCAGAGATCTGGAGACATAGGTAAGAAGTGCACACAAACTTTTTTGCTAGTGGAGTGGGACTAAGTCAAGTCCCTTGTACTGCGGCCACTTCTGGCCTGTTGTACCATCACGCAAACCTTAGTGGGAAACTGTGGAGTATAGAGACCACTGAGAAAACTGAAACCAGTACATGGAGAAAATATTAAACTGGATCTTACAGATGTGTGATATACTTCTGTGGACTGGTTTCATGTGGATCAAGATATGGACCAGTGGTGGGCATTTGTAAGCATGGTAATGAACCTTTGGTTGCATAGAAGGGGTAGAATTTCTCGAATAGCTGAACAATTACAGCTAGATGAAACAAGCAGAAATGCCTTGAAAGTAGAGGCCACAAGGAAAGCCTAGACATAGATGGAAAGACAGTATGAAAATGTGTTTGAGAGATAAGATGTACGTGTGTACTGGATTCATCTGGCTCCGGATAGGGACCAGTGGCAGGATTTTGTGGACATGGTAATGAACATATCAAATGCGATTGAATGGTGGGAACTTCTTGCATGGCTGAGCAACTACTGGCCTCTCATGAAGGATTCAGCAGCTAGCAATAACTGGGCGTGTGTCCGAAGTGGGACAGAAGGCGCTGGAAGCAGGGCCGCAGATAAAAGTGAGCTGATGACTGAAACATGAGCCTGAAGGATGAAGGCCTTTGTGTGGGTCTGCAGTGCCCGTAACAGACCACATTCTGGAAAGGGTGGTGAGGAGATGTGTTGGATGTTGTCATGGCCGATTCAAGTTGTGTTAGTCTTGCCAACCCGTGGAAACCCAAATGCAATGAATTCCACTAACATCAATGCTAAATGTTAAGGCCTAGGTATCTCTTGTCCAAATATCAGCTACAAATATTAATTAACAATGAGTCACAATTAAAAGAGTATTCAGAAATACTCGCATTAGGCAGTGTTGTACTTCAGTATTACATTGTTGAGACAGCAACTATATAATAAACTAACGTTTCTGAGCCTTCTACAGCTCCTTTGATTCATATAAGTTAGAAACAATAATTGTAGTTAAAGAGTAATTTTAAACAGTCTCATAACCCGAAAGGTCAAGTTGTCCCTGGGCTTTAATTAATTAATTAAACACCATTCATGGAAGCAGTGATGGAACTATACCTCCAACCCCCCCCCACATCAATCCCATTAAGAGGAATACAAAATGTACTTTGCTTGAAATTGATCATACAGGAAATATGTATAAACTAACTTCTCTAATTCTTCTACAGTCCTCTTGCTGTATATTTATGTTACTTATACAGTATGTGAGCATATGTATCCTATTCTTCAGAGTTAATCTGCTGTAAATGTGAAAAATGAAAACGAATACTTTCTTGAACATCTAAACTTATTCTGTTAGGTTAATGGACTTTATTTAGAGCTTTCACCATTTTAATCCCTATAATTTTTTGTACGTGTTATTTCAGAAAATGCTTGTGGATACCAGAGGTTTTAAACCTGCATAGCAATTCACTGTAGCTGAAAGTCTGGTGCTTGCTAGTTTATTACAAATGAATATTTGTAGCATACTGATTTGCAGTAAGTTTAGTGAAACATGAGCCATGGTCTTGAGATGTGCAGCATCTCTTCCATCATTTTTACTGGCTCTAAGTAATTATTCTCATGTCTCTTATGCACTGAAATCTGAGTAACCATTTTTCTTTCTTGCTATTCATGTTCACTATTCACTTTATTATATTCCATAAGATCTTTACAAGGTGGTGAGAACAACCGTCAGATATAGGAACAGTCAGATAAAAAATCATTGCTTTACAAACAAGCAGATTGTCAAAATACAACAGTAGAAAATACGAATATAATACATGTAATACATGTCATACATTTGTCAATAAAAACAATAAAATGAAAATAAACATATACTAGTCATTAATAAGAACCTCACAAGAAACTCCAGCAATCATACCTTAATATGAAATCATTTGAAATAAGCTAATTTATCAAAATGTAAGAACACAAATAAGAAACAAGTCTAAGTTTTGTACGCACCATTTTAGTATAGTTAAAATTAAAAAACGAAATATTTATTGAATACTTACAGATAAACATGAAAATATACATGTCATACTTAATACATAAGTGTCACAAAATTAACAGCCTAACAAATAAATTCAAATGGGGTCATATTACATGCTTATATCTGCATAAATGAGTAATAAATTTTAACAGATATTTAAAATTATGGTAAACAACTGAAGTATTTATATAGGTGGATTTATCAATTGGATTCAGTAGGAAGATGATTATATTTTATATTTAAAAAATTCATCAATGCTATAAAATGAGTGAAGATAAAGAAATTGAAGTAATGTCTTCTTAAAAAGATGGATATTACCATACAGCTGTTTTATGTTAAATGGGAGATTATTAAATATCTTAATTCCGATAAATTGAGTACCTTTCTGATAAATCGATAATTTAGCAGATGGAAGATAAAGATTAGAAATGTTTCTAGTCGTAATCGAATGCGCATCCAAATTTTTGGTAAACATTTCCCAATTGTTAACTACAAACATTAAAACAGAAAAAATATATAGAGAGGGCAGAGGTAATATTTTAAGCGAAGAAAATATCTTCCTACAAGGATCTTTATAACCAACACCAACCATAATTCTAATAATTCTTTTTCGAAGTCTAAAAATGCGCATACTGTGATATGAATTCCCCCAGAAAATCAAGCCATAAGACATTATAGAATGAAAATAGGCAAAATCATTTTGAGGGTATCAATATTTAGAAATTGTTTAGATCTTCCAATAATATAACAGGCTGTATTCAATTTCATTATAATTGATTCAATGTGTATTTTCCACGTTAATAGGTTATGCAGCATC